TGTCAATGAATTTCAATTGGTCTACTCTGATAGGGTTTTACAATGAATACACTTATAAATTCAGTAGAACAAATGCTCAAGCATTTCTTATGGCATGGATAGAAAAGGTGGGTGCTATTCTGCAAGGTACTGCGCTGCCTCTGAAAAGTACAGTTGTACCTTGGAAGTCGAATGGAATCCGTTCTGGAAGTTGATTCGACTTCCAAAACGTTTGGAAACCAAAGCGTGGCTTCTGATTGGCTGCAGGAAGCTCCTGCAGCCAATCGGAAGTCGCAGAAGCCCCATGGTATGTTTGGCTTCCAAAAATAGTTCGCAAGCTGGAACAGTCCCTTCCAGGTTTGCAGCATTCGAAAGCTAAAACAATCGAGAACTAAGCTGTTCGAAAACCAAGGTACAACTGTACTGAATTCAGAATTCTAAAGGAGCACAGAGTTGCTCCACAAGTATCAGTGCTAGTCTTTGAACTGTATTTTCTGCTCACAAGGAAATGTAATTCATATACCCACATAATTCTTTTTAGCACACATGTTCAAGGATGTTGAGCTTGACTTTATACAAACACACAGAGAGAAAAAATCTCTTCCTGAGTTCCTGAACCAAAAGATGCCATTGTGAAATTTTAAAGGAAGACTTTTCATGGAAGCATTCTGAAAAGGAACAGCTTCTATGTTTAGAAAATAAGCATCTGTGTGACTAGGAAGCCTATTACAAACCAGCAGGATACCGGGAGGCTGCGGGAGGAGGGAGTTAGAGCAGTCACCCTTGAAAGCTGATCTATCTGTGGCACATGAAAGCAACCAGCAACCCGTATTTAAACAGTAATTTAACTGCAAAAACACTTCTTTCTGGAGAAATAGATATATACACACATACACAAAATTTTGTGCTCCACACAAAAAAAGTAAAAAACGGCAATTCATGAAACCAGACGCAAGGGCAAAACAAATAAAGATGCCATCATAAACTGAAAAAGCACTTCAGGAAGAAGAGGTGGAGAATGAAAAGCAATGCCGAAAAACTGTCAGGGCAGCATGAAAGGAAGAGTGGGGAAAGCGACAGTGGGGGGGAGGGGAATGAAAGCCACCTCTTAACACTTAAATGTATGAAATCACCACAGCAGGAAGCAGGAGGGTATCGGCAGCCTTGAAAAAAACAACACCGTTTGCACAATGACTCTCAGCCTCAGTTTACTCAACCCTATGCAAACCACAGAGCCACAATGTATCAGCCAGTGGTTTGAAGATCTCACTGCCTTTTTAAAGACTGAGTGCATGGATTACAATTGACAATTATATTTATATGTCTATTTGGACTCCATATACCGTATTTTTCGCACCATAGGGCGCACCGGACCATAGGGCGCACCCAGTTTTTTTTGGGGGGGGGGAAATAAAGGGGAAAAAATTATTTCCCCCCCAGGCGCGGGGCTGGGGCCGGGGAAGCTCGAGCTTCCCCCGACCCCAGCCCCCAAACAGGCAGCTCTCTGCAAGCCGTGAGAGCGCTCCCGCTGCTTGCGGAGAGGTCCGTGAAGCCTGGGCTCGCTGATCTCAGCGCGCGCAGGCTTCGGCATGCAGGCAAGTCTCTGCAAGCAGCGGGAGCGCTCCCACGGCTTGCGGAGAGGTCCGCGAAGCCTAGGCGCGCTGATCTCAGCGCGCGCAGGCTTCAGCATGCAGGCAACTCTCCACAAGCAGCGGGAGCCCAGCGCTGGGCTCCCGCTGCTTGCGGAGAGGTGTGCAAAGCCTGGAGAGCGTGAGGGGTCGGTGCGCACCGACCCCTCTCACTCTCCAGGCTTCAGCGAAAGCCTGCATTCGCACAATAGGACGCACACACATTTCCCCTTCATTTTTGGAGGGGAAAAGTGCGTCCTATGGTGCGAAAAATACGGTATGTTTAAGGATTGGTTTATGCACTGCTAAGGTAGTGCTGGATTATACACGTAAAAATACTGTACAGCAGCAGAAATCTAGAAGAAAAACATCTGTGTAGACACCCAAGGGTTGGTAAGGGGTCTTTTGGGATTTGTTTGTCTTGGTCAACTCTGTTTTAGCAACAGAACCAGCAGAGATCCTAAAACTCCTGCTTGTGAATCTGCAGGCAGAAGAGAAGAGGGATTCAAAAGTCAGCCAAACAACTGGCCGAGTCATCTTGCGGCTGCTAAACAGGTGCTCTAATAAACGTCTAATTGTTGACATATTGCAGTTAAGGCCTTGCATTTATTTCTTATTGTTAGTTGTGAAAAACCTATTTTCTTCCTGGCCGCCGCCAGCGGGTCTGAAATGTTAAATGAAAGGTTTAGGAGGAAGGTTTAGGAGGAAGACATCACCTGGCCCACCAACACAAATATTCCGGGGGCCATAAAATTTTGAATGGTTCACCTGGACTGTGCCATATCCAGCCTGCTGGTAAGTGGCCTTTGTAAACTCCATGCTGGCTACACTCAATAAGCTTTAACATGGAAAGGGAAGGCAGATGGAAACTGGAGGGTGAGATGGGTAATATCAGGAGAGGATGCTTGTGTCAGGAAGCAGCAGGGGATGTCTGTATGGTTGTTCAAAAACCACATGGAGAATTCTTTTTTACTTCCTTGCCCTCCCTCTCTTCATAAATTACTTTTTAAAAATCTCTAAGCAATGCACATAAAACTATATTGAATAATTATCACACACACACAGTTTTATTGAACTTAGCTGGCATCAAGTTGGCACTCAGCCCTCCATATTCAGCTGAGAATTTTCGTCTCTGTGCATTGTGGACGAACATGCACCAAGGTGACCCAAAGCCTCTTTATGATAGGCCCTTGAGGGTTGGATTGGGTCACCCTGTCACTGGCCACCACTGGAGAGATGCAAAAAACATTCTGCATCATTGAACTCCTTCTGTGTGGGCAGGAGGAAGGCCTGCTGCTTGCATCCCTGGCAGCAGAAAATCCAAAAATGGGATGTGCTACAAGGGCGGGGAGGCCCAAGGCAGCCAGCAATCTACCCTCCACTGTTGCATGGTGACATCAGGTCTGATCTTCCTGCCCTCTACACCTTCCACTACCTCAGCCAGGAGCAACTTGGCTGTAGATGTAGTGGCTGCTCTACTAAGCTGGCTGTTTAGTCTTCAGTCCACCTGGGGACTGAGTCTCAAAGTGCCCCCTGCCTGGATAATTATATTCTATATTCCATGCTATGTCTGTTTCCTCCGCCTTGCTTCAGAGTGTTTCTCACAATATTTTCCCCTCCTGTATATTCTCAGCTAGTAGAATATATAACCTGAGATTACAACTCATTGTGAGTGATGACTAAATTGCAAGATGTGATTGAATGGGTTTGATGTCCTAGAACCATCTAACAATTTGACAAAAGCACAGAGAGGAGGCTACTTACAAATAAATGATTTAAAATTAAAAGATCATTAGCACTTGTCTTAGAACGATGAACTCTCAGCTCTTTTATACATTGACAACCATTCAACTATTTTGACTCCCCAACCAACAAGAATGCAGAAAGATATGAAACAATATGATTCCCTAATTCTAGGTGGATATCAAAAGAATCCCCACATTTTTATCCTGTAAGAATTATGAAGGTCATTGCTACCAGCTACATCCTTGACTACCAAGGAATCCCAGAACAATGAGAGCCAAGAATATATGTTCTGACTACTTCAAATTCCTACTATAAGTTCTTCATTTCTTTCCCAACTATTGTACAATTAATCAACCAGCTTCTTTCCTGCCACAGGGCTTTCCACAATCCTCAATAAGATTGTGGATATGGTATGCATGCTTTCCAGCACTATTATTCAATCAGTCTAGTAATAGTGGTATCACACTATGAAAAGATTTCAGGAGGATATTACATTTGCAGCTAATTCTGAAACTCATAAACTGCATCTAACTGGATGACACAAAAATTGCCTTCTATGTAAATGAAACAAGAATCACAGAGAATTGTAACTACAAAGAAAAGCTCAACAGTAACTTATATTTAGGGCAATAGCTCTTGAACCTATTAGCATTTAATTCATATTCAGAATGAATTAAATTTTGAAAAGCATTTTTGGAGGGAGTGAGATGCTAAAACACAGCAAAACGCACTGAGAGTAAATGGAACACTGTACACAGGTATATTTATTCCTTCCTATAAAATGCCAGACACTCTTAAGAATATCACTTCACCAGTTTATCCAGGAGTTGAACTGAGAGCAAGAGCAAATGTGGAGCTGAACTGATAGCAGCTCAGATGTGGAGACTGCTTGATCACTGAGTCAATTCTCCTGCCTTGGGTCGATAATGTGTGAAGTTCGTTTGCTACAAATCTTAATCAGCTAAAGCAACTGGCAAATTTACGTGCTGCAGTTGCAATTCTTTCAGCCCAAGGACAACATTTTACTATAGCTGTCCACAAAACCAGGCAGTATTTATAACCGTTATCTGAATCCTTATCTCCGTTAAGGTCAACTGCCTAGCAGAGTAACAGTCTAGAGCAGGTAGCCCCAATAAATATTTACTGGCATCTGCACAGCCAGCACAGGAATAGTGAATACTCCTCTCAGTATACTGACTTTACAAGGCAGCCACATTATTAGTATTCCATGTCTAGAGCTCTTCTGATGATTCTTGCTTCTTGCCATTCCTGAATGCACATCATTTCTTTTTAAAGCTGCATTTATTTATTTTTAAGGCACATTATCACACAATACTAATCCTTCAAGAGCCATCTTGGACCAAGCTATTTTTAGTGAGATGCATGCAGCAAATGCAAACTTTTCAATTCTAATCAGACATGGGGATTGGGTGACAGAATTAAAGGAAGTTTCTGCATAGCCTGGGTTTTCTCTTGGCTAACCAGCTCCCCCCACCCCACCCCAGTTTTGCTTTTCTGGTTAAGGGAAAAGTTGGGCTTAAAATGGCACAGAATAGCATTCTGCTATAATGAGCTATTAATGGAAGTGAGAAAGAGAAAACAAATGTCTAAGAGGAAGGTCTCACCCACCCTCTCCCTCCTGCTTACCTGGGCTCTGACCGCAGCATCTTTTTTAATCCACTTTATCACCGTTTCATAAACCAGTTCTTCCGTTTTTGTGTTCAGGCTGTCATTGGACATATAGGAAATGAAGTCGTCTTTCGAGATATTAAGAATCTCCTCTTGATTTGCCACCTCCGGAAAAATCTGCAGGGCATAGGCCTTTGCCATGTTGTATAGCTCGCTGCACTGCATCGCTTCAGCCATGGCTAATATTCCTAAGCAATTGCTAGCAGTCAACTGTTTTTCTACAATGAACATAGGAAACAGAAAGGGATGGGGAGAATAAGTCAAAAATCCAGGGCACCTATTTCCTGGTTTTGCAAGCTGTAAACTGCCACCTAAATTTGATAGGTAGGGTAGGAGTACAAAGGAATGAATTAGATGACCTCTGAACTGAAATATGCATAATAGGGAAACAGCAACAGCATAAATACAGAAATAAACACAATCCTCTTTTGACACCGAGAGCTCAATGCAACTTTCTTTTTCTTTCAAATTTTGTTCCCATAGAAATCAATGGGACAAGTTAGTCGCAATTTCAGTGCTACTGAATAAGATATCCAGTGATTAGGGAACATACTATAAGGAAACTATATAACTGCTTTGGGACTGTAAATGTGTGTAATTGTAGCAGACCCGGGGCTAACAACAATTTCCCCCCAAACCTCTGAGCTTATCAAATTAAACTAATTAATTAAACTGAAGGCAAATTAAGAGCCTCGTTTTTTCTCTTCCAGCCATCTAGACATGTGGGTGTGCATGCCTCAATATTCCTTACATAAAACCAAATTTCCATTTGCCAGCAGCATGTGTGTGTAGTGCAGAGGTTCAAATCTAAAACCCATATTAATGTGATAAAATAAAACAGGGTTAACTGTGAGGAAACTGGGTTGCCTGAAATTCAAAAAGCAAAAGAAGGGACGGTGTTTTGAACACATTTTGTACTTTCTAAATATTAGCAAGGGGAGGTTAAAAGGAGTATAAAACCATCACAAAGGATGTCAAGGCATAGTACACCCTGACAATCTCTATGAGGCTCAAGCCTATTATTCCAGAGAACTCCATATCCAAAGACTACAAAAGGAAGCTCAGACACCTCCCCTCACAATATTACAGACTCAGTTGTAATGGGGACGGGGGAGAAGCCTTCTGAATCAGGAAAATGGATGTCTACCCAACACACCTGGGACACAAACTAATGGAGCTCTTATAAAACTGGAACAGTGAGAGCTGTTGTGAACTGCTAGTGAGGGAAACTCCATTTTTCCTAAGAGGCATATTTCTCCATTTTTAGGTCCCTGAGGCCGTGGGCCATCTATTTCTGACTGGTAACATGGGATCAACATTTCATGGTAGATACTTTCTTTGCGAAAGTCTGGCCAGTTTCTCCCAGTCCTTTCTTAGGTGACAGATGCAGCAATCCACATTTCTCCAAGACTGCCTGTCTCCTCAAACAGAGTTTGGCTCCTTTTAAAATGGCAACTGTTCATAGAAGGACGTCCAAAGACATCATAGCCAATGTAGGCCCAGTTTGCCACAGGGACATAACCTGCATAAAATATTATCCATATGCATAGTTTTAAAGAAAATAACCAATAAGGGGCATAAGTTAAGGGTGAGGAAGTGGGGAGTCCGGGATCATCTAAGTCAGTGTTTCTCAACCTTGGGTCCCCATATGTTGTTGGACTACAACTCCCATCATCCCTGAGCTCTGGCATTGCTAGCTAGGGATGATGGGAGTTGCAAGCCAAAAACATCTGGGGACCCAAGGTTGAGAAAGGCTGCTCTAAGTGAACCATCCTGAGACCTGTGGGTATATAGGGCGGTATACAAATTGATAATAGTAAGTGTACAGTGGTACTTCGGGTTATATACACTTCAGGTTACATACGCTTCAGGTTACAGACTCCGCTAACTCAGAAATAGTACCTCGGGTTAAGAACTTTGTTTCAGGATGAGAACAGAAATGTTCCGGCGGCTCGGCAGCAGCGGGAGGCCCCATTAGCTAAAGTGGTGCTTCTGGTTAAGAACAGTTTCAGGTTAAGAACGGACCTCTGGAACGAATTAAGTACTTAACCCGAGGTACCACTGTAGTACTACAACTTCCATCATCCCAGATCACTGGCCATGCTGGTTTGGCCTGATAAGATCTGGAGTCGCACTTTAAAAAGACTTGTAGCATTTGTATTGTAACAGGGTGAATGTTTTGCCAGCCAACACATCATCCTGTTTGAAGTAAAGAGTTGGGGGAAATGTGGTTGGTGACTTGGATGTTCTTACTTGGCCTCTGCTTACCAGCATTAATAACAGAACATTTGATTAAGATTCAAGGCAGGACATCTCAAAATGAAAAGGAAGATACGTCCGTCACACTAACAATAAATAGCGTGCGGAAATGATTATCCACTTGCTCATAAACAGCTTGTTCTCCACTCTCACAGCAGCACAATATATTCTGTTTGCAAGGCACTGTTTTATGTTAGAATGCTTAATAGGTCTCCAAGTGAAATTTCAGAAATAATGATAAAATATGTAACTTACTAGTCCTCGGGGTTGCTAAGGTGTTGGGTTTTTTTTTTTTTGTAGCATTACGGAAATGAAATCTTAAATGACTCTTAAATAAATTAATTTAATTCTCTTGACCTCTTTCTACGATTTAAAGAGCCAGTAGAGTTATAATACTACCAGTCTCTTAACAGATTGCACGTAGAGCAGCATAATCCCTCTCCTCCTACTGCTTTTTCCCTCCCTCATTTAACCCCTGGTTAAACTTTACGTAAATGTCAACTGTGGTTAATCAAAAGTAATTAAGGGGAAAAGTTTGGAAACATCATCTTAACTAGGAAGGTAATAAGAAGGGTTCTTGTTAGTGCTAACAGCAGTGCCAATATAACACTTAAAACATGGTAGAAGAAGATAGGAAGAATTTGTGGAGGAAGTAATGATGTTAAAATGGTTAAAAGACAATAAGCATTTTATCTCTAGGGGCCCACAGTCAGCAATACAGTGGTACCTCAGTTTTCGAAAGTCCCGGAAGCCAAATGTTTCGGTTTTTGAATGCCGAAAACCCAGAAGCAAATCCTTCTGTTTTCAAACACACCTCGGAGGTTGAATGGCTTCCACTACGTGTACGGGTTATTTCCCCCCCCCCCCAAGTTTTCTGCAGACCACCCTTTGCTCCTTGGCTTTCAAACGTTTCGGAAGTCGAACAGTCTTCTGGAACGGATTACGTTCGAAAATCGAGGTACCACTGTACCAACTTCTGAAGTTCCTTGCCCCCCCACTGGTCACCATAGTCAAGAATAAAGGTGGCACACTTATTGTTTCTTGAAGCTGTCTGCACTAGTTAGTATTATTATTTAAGTTATTCAACTTTTTTCTCGCCGCAGGCTACTCACAGTGTCTTTACAAAAACAAAATGAAATGAAAGGTAAACAAAAACTCATATGCTCAATTAAAACCAATGTGAAATCCCCACCCTTCAGATTATGCTATTTCTTCCCTCCCCCCCACCCCAGCCCTCCACTTCAGGGTTTTCACTCGATTTATAGTCAAAGTTTTCATGGGAAAGTTCATTATCTGGGAAATCATGGTTCTTATTCCCCCCTAAAAATGTGCAAAATGCAAAACGAAAACAAAACACCAAACCAATCAATCTCTAGGCCAATTTGCCTCTATGACATACTAAGAACAAACGAGATTTTCCACAGGTGGCTCTTAGAAGAACTTTAGAAATAGTGGTTTGCTTGTCTTTTTGCATTGTAAGATTCTTGGCTAGCCCAGTGCAAAAATGAAAAATGAGGCCAACTGAAAACTCCACTATCTCTGAAGCTTAATCCAGTAAGAGCTATAAATAAAAATAAGCAATTATATTTTATGAATTCTCTAAATGAGAATATAAACCTCTAGTTCCCCATATATAATGAAACTTACAGCCAACTCTCCCAATTGCATAACCATAACACGGTTCACTGAATTCACATATTAAGTATTGGAAAAGGAAAATCTCACATTGATTTAGTGGAAATAAATGTATTTTGTTATAGTAGCTGAATCTTTAGAGATAATGTGCATGGATATGTCTGTGGATCATTATGAAAGCCATAAAATCTATTAATTTAAAACACACTGGAGGGCAGCTATTAAAGGAAATCTGCACCAGCACAGCAAATGCCATCTAATATCCAGTTTTGGAATAGATGCGCGCAATTTGGACAAAACAGATGTGAGGGAAACAGGAAGCGCAAGGCCCTCAATCTTCTATGCTCACATCAGAAATTGAACGTTTGGATTATCCTTCAAGGTATAATGTGCTAGCGCATGATGGAAGGACAGTTTGAGCATCTCCCACCACAGGGGAGATATGAGAGGTTCACATTTAATGTTACAGAGCTATATCAGGAAAAGGAAGTTGGGAGTGCCTTGAAATTAGTGATGCCAACAAAGTTCATGATTGCTTGGATCATAACACAAACTTGTCCCACTCATAATGTTTGGCTGTGGTACTAAGGAAAATCGGGGGCCTTGAAACTGGGATGCAGCAAGGAGCCCTGGGGTGTGCAGTTCCCAGGGAATACCCACTTGTAGGTTAACCCAATTCCAGAATGGGTGAGCTCTGGTCAGACCTCACCTGGAGTACTGTGTCCAGTTCTGGGCACCACAGTTCAAGAAGGACACTGACAAACTGGAACGTGTCCAGAGGAGGGCAGCCAAAATGGTCAAAGGCCTGGAAACGATGCCTTATGAGGAACGGCTAAGGGAGCTGGGCATGTTTAGCCTGGAGAAGAGGAGGTTAAGGGGTGATATGATAGCCATGTTCAAATATATAAAAGGATGTCACATAGAGGAGGGAGAAAGGTTGTTTTCTGCTGCTCCAGAGAAGCGGACACGGAGCAATGGATCCAAACTACAAGAAAGAAGATTCCACCTAAACATTAGGAAGAACTTCCTGACAGTAAGAGCTGTTCGACACTGGAATTTGCTGCCAAGGAGTGTGGTGGAGTCTCCGTCTTTGGAGGTCTTTAAGCAGAGGCTTGACAACCATATGTCAGGAGTGCTCTGATGGTGTTTCCTGCTTGGCAGGGGGTTGGACTCGATGGCCCTTGTGGTCTCTTCCAACTCTATGATTCTATGATTCAGAACTCTGAAGAAATTACATTTCTCAGGACCTTGAACAGAGTCCTTCAAATAGTCTGCATGGCTGGTACCACTGATGCCAAGTAAGAAGGGGGTAGTAGCAACGTGTGGGGGAAGTTATGTCTGTGTGCTTATGTTGTTTCAAATGATGTCATCTGCAGCGTGAGTGAGCCCACATTTCAGAATTAGCACCAAGTCCAATTCTAAACGGGATGTGGGTGGCGCTGTGGTCTAAACCAAAGAGCCTAGGGCTTGCCGATCAGAAAGTCGGCGGTTCAAATCCCCACGACGGGGTGAGCTCCCGTTGCTCAGTCCCTGCTCCTGCCAACCTAGCAGTTCGAAAGCACGCCAAAGTGCAAGTAGATAAATAGGTACCTCTCTGGCGGGAAGGTAAACAGTGTTTCCGTGCGCTGCTCTGGTTCACCAGAAGCGGCTTAGTCATGCTGGCCACATGACCTGGAAGCTGTCTGCGCACAAACGCCGGCTCCCTCGGCCTATAGAGTGAGATGAGCGCCACAACCCCAGAGTCATCCGCAACTGGACTTAACTGTCAGGGGTCCCTTTACCTTTTACCAATTCTGAACTGAGGTGGGGGAGTTCACTCATCCAAACCTGTTATTCCTTGCCCCAGTTCTGCCCTAGCTAAAGCCATTCCGAAGGGCAGTTCTAGCATCTTAGAAGCTGCTCTGGTTTGTGGGGCAACCTACCCTACTGGTTATGGAAACCAACCTTGAGCTAGTTAATTAGCTCTCCTCCCTGCATATCTCCAGCCTTTAAGGGTACACCGAGCTAAGTGGGAAGGGTATTTTTTTTATGATGGAGATCACATCCCAGGGACAAAAGAACAACTCAATAATAATAATAATTATAATAATAATAATAATACTCAATGCACCAAGAAGACCCCGGTGACCTGTATATATTACGTGAAGTAAACATAATTTACTCTTCAATTTCTTTATGTTTCTGGCAATTAAGGGCTAAGGACATATATGCAGGACTCTGAAACCCCATACCTAATCACTGGACATCTTATTCAGGAAGTTATTCTGCATACAGAGATTATATTGGACATTGCCCATAAACTTCCTAGCATATTAGCAAGGACCAGACGCTTGTATTTTCTTTTATATGTGAACTGAGATTCTTGTGGAGGATGCCCAATAGCACATCCAGTGCTTTTTATGTACTTCTGCAGCCTCAAGGCGTGCACCCAGCCTTGGTAAAAGTCCACAATTCACTCAAGTCAGCAATACTATTTGCAATGCAGCACACCGTGATTGGATAGTAGCTGTACTTCAGGTGCCGTGATTTTAACAAGACCACAATGCACCTGAAGTACAGCCACAAACAAACAGTGGTCTGTCCTATTGTAAATGACATTTAACCACAAATTTTATAGAAGAGTTGCACATAGTGGGAAATTCTGAGGTTCGATGAATTCTTACCTAGAAATGACACACAGACTTTGCAGAATGTATGAAATTGGAACTTGCTGGCAGCTTCCAGAAGAGTTTTGGCATTGACAGAATCTATTACTAAGGAACCTGTATAAACAAACTCCAGCAGTAATTCCAGGACATCCGCCGTGAGATTTGATAATTCCAACTCCAGCTTCTCACTGCTTCTGCTACTGTCCCGGGGTGACCTAGCAACAGCAGACAATGAAATTCTTACAGGATATTAACTTTCCCCCAGTGGTTGCCACTTACTGATGGCTTGAAAATCATACAACAATTCACTGACACAGAGTTTTGTTGTTGTTTAAGAATTGAAAAATACTGTATCTTTAAAAAAAATAATCATTGAACTTAAAAACACTTTATTACTGGATCTGAAAGAGAAGAGTCTTGCACACCAAAAAATACCGACACAAACATTATTGCTACTCTGCATATTCATGCAAAAAAATAATAATTTGCAAACCAACCAAACAAACAAAAATTAAGAAGAAGATGAGCCAACATTAATGAAAATGTGGAATAGGATTAACTTTCAAAGGGAAGCAATACATTTTCATGTTTACATTCTGTGTCTCTACATCGTTGGATAGTGAAAACAAAGTTTCCTGTTTTCAAGAGAAAAGGTCACTTGTTTTTCACCCCCAATACTACATCCTTCATACAGAACATGGGACAATACCTTACAGGGTATTTAGGGGTACATTTATGGACCTTTTCTATAAACCAAAGTAGGAGAGGAATAGTTGTTATAATGGTTCTGAGTTTGACATTCGAAAAGTTGCTAACTTTTTGTTTTATTTCAAACCCTATAAATTTTGTGTGCATATTTGTTTGACTTCAAAAAAATATATTGTTCCCTTTTAGGCACTAAAAGAAAAGAAAAACAAAAGAGGAAGGAAGGAGACCCCTCATGGAATTGCTTTGAAAACTGAATACAAGACAAGATAGACAGACAAAATGGTTAGAGCAAAAGAGGGAAGGGGTTTTTTTTGGAACAACAACAACCAGCTCTGCCACAGGAAGCCAGCAGCCATCCTCTCGAAGTTTCATGACCGTGGCCTACCGGTTTTTCCTGCATAAAGTGCTAAACAATTTGGTGATCAACATATCGCCTGCATTTGAATTGTGCATTAGTGCTTGTGGAACTATCAGACAAAATATATAAATAAAAATAAAATAGATACATGGAGTGGGTGGTGGGTGGGAAGGGTTCAGTTCCTAACCGCTGGCTCAGGGTATAGCTGCAAAACACTAAAGTTGGGTTATACCTGAAAGACAAAACAAAACAAAAATAAAAATGCATTTGGTAACGTCAAGAAAAGGGGAGGAAAGACTGTTAGCGCAGGAAAGCAAATGCCTTTGAAATGGTTAGAGCCGCCAGGACCTTCTTTTGGAAGCGTCACACTGATCTCAGTGGAGGTACAAAATCCAGTTACTCCGCCACTGACACCCATTTCAGAATTCACACCAAAAAACTGTAAGTCTTGTTAAACTTTTCGTAAAAGGGTCACAAACGACCAGTTAGCTTTTAAGAGAAGCATGGAATGCAGCGACTTCGCAAGAGCCTTGTTTTTCAAGGTATGTATCATGCTAAATAACTTTTACCAGCTTATCTCCAAAGAGTTGGGGCAAGATGAAGAAACATGGATCCTCCATCTTCTTCCTCCCCTTTCCACTTGTTTTTCCTCTACCCAGCTCTGGACTCAAAGCAATGACACGAAATACCTCAGACATATGGATAGCCCTTTCTAAATGGAAGTTTGGTGGTTCTGACACAAAGGAGTCTCTGTTAAGCCATGGATGCTGCAGAAACTCACACACAGCTCTAAACGTGTGAATTAACAGTATAGACCATTTCAACTGCTTGATAAAACTAAGTTAGCACACGAGCCTCTGAAAATTCCCAAAGCTTTGCAAATTTGCTAAATTCAGGGATGGAAAGGCACCTTCATTGGAGGCTGGTGCATTAGCAGAAATGGGCCATGGCTCCTCAACCCCAACATGTCTCCACTTGTCTGCTTTCTCGTTTACAAACCAATCAGGGATGGCTCTCCTCGTCACTGGCTTTGGCACCACTGCTTCCCTGCAAGTCCCAATGTTCACTAGCTATCCCTGGTTACCTCTAATGGGGATCTCTATACCTAACGTCCCCTCACCGTGAACTCTCATTTATTGGTGAGCATACACGTACTGAGTGCATATCGATGGTGCAATATTAATTTCAACAATTTGCTTAGTATTTGGTTGTTGGGTTGCAAGTTGATAAATCTGCAGCAGTCCTTCCCCTCACTCAGCAGTAAAAACATGGAAGGGAGAGACTAATCTTTGTGCAACACTCAGGAAGTCTAAAACAGAACAAGGATTTAGGTGAAGGGCGTCTCTGCTGATGCTCTAACCACGAGACCATCCTTAATGTTTATGCAAGTTCAGAGTACTAATAAGTAGTTGTCCTTGCTAAGCTTTCTCTGGAGATAACAGAAGCTAACAGCAGCGAGGAAGCTGTTAGCAGCCTTAGCTATGATTAGAATAAAGAAAACACAAATATTAGAGACAACTCCACCCTGGAATAATTCAGTGATAATCTCTTCTCCTTTGTAATACACCAAGCTTTAAACGGCTGTTGCAATTGATTAAACACCAAAACAAAGCTAAGGTGTTTAATCAATCACAAAAGCCTCTTATGGAGAGCATAATACCCAGCGGAGATTATTGATGTTACACAACCTGCCAGAAATGGAAAAGAAAATTGTATCCTTTTCTTCTTCTGGTGACAGTTTTGATATTGGCAAGATGCTGCAACCGGGATGTTCGTGCAGCATACAGATCATGGTAGGCACTGCTTAAATCCATGATTTGGATTCAAATACCGAGAAAGGGTCTGCCTCAGCTACCGCCAAAGAACAAGTTCAGGTTTCATGATGGTGAACTGACTTGCGCAAATTTTGATTAGATGCCAGATGAGTTACTGGCTAAAATTGTCCCTATGAGATGGGGAAAAGGTAGAGACACATTTCCCCATCTGCATCTATACTGGAATTGTTTTTATCATGTTTTAATTGTTTCGTTGCTTGTGTGTTTGCTACCCTAGGCTCCTTCGAGAGGAAGGGTGGGATTGAATGAAATAAATAAAATAATTGAGTGAATTTTCAATTTCCCCATCTGCATCTATACTGGAATTGTTTTTATCATGTTTTAATTGTTTCGTTGCTTGTGTGTTTGCTACCCTAGGCTCCTTCGAGAGGAAGGGTGGGATTGAATGAAATAAATAAAATAATTGAGTGAATTTTCAAAAGGAGCAGAAAAGTTTTGTGTGCAAACAACCAGGACTAGATAAACTCTTAATTTGCAACCTCAGTTAAAATGTACATCTGTAAACAGAATTAACTAGGGGCTGGTTAACTGTTCTCTCTCAAACAGTTGGGTTTAAATTTCTTAATTTGTGTACAGGTCAGTGTGCTAAGCAGATTTCCCATTAATATATTGGAGGGCATGTTCTTCTCTCAAGTGAGAAAGTGAAACAAAATGGCTTCGTTGTCCTCAGGTAAGTAGCAAACAGAAGCAGGGCTGTAGTGACAGAGAACCAATGAAATGCTGCCAAGCAGATGACAAACGACCCACCCCACCTCCAAAAAGTGCTAAGGGGAATCCACATTTAACAATGACTCTGGATGATAAACAAGTTATTTTTGCTTATCGGATTATCTGTCTAATGGAAAAATCCATATTAAATTGGGGGTGGGGGAGAGAGAGTACAGGCTGGTGTTTTGATGAGGATGCTACAAAAAACTTGCATGCATGAGTAGCACTAAATCTACATTAAATTCCCATATGGACAAGCCTGGAGAGAAAGAGTAATTGCTAAGTCACTGCCCTGGTGCCACTGGAACACAGAGCTCTGCTTGAAATACAGAACTATAAGAGATTCTTGAACATCATCTCAATAAAACAGCAGTTGGACATTCCTAGGCTGCACAGGAAGTTTCAGCTACTTTCTGTTAATTCTGGCTGCACTAAATGTTTATTTCACTACACAGGAATGGTACCCTATGAGTTTTTCAATTGTTGTATTCATTTGGATTCAGAACTCCATCCCCAGTCACCTTGCCTATCTAGTATGGAACTTGCTATTTGTGGAAACTATTAGTCACCTTCCCCACCCCTTTTGCTCTATGAAAAGCAACTCAAAAGAGCATACAAATATATTCTGCTAGTTAGCATACTTTCCCCTAACACGGAAAATGTCCCTCACTGGTTCTGGGGCAATTTTATCAGCAAGATAGCTAGTACTTTCAATCCATCCCTATCTCCATCCTTTCGGACAACACATGTCCACTTAGGCCTCCAAGCGGGAAGATGCGTGTCTCTGGAAGACTCATCCCCTACCTCTCCACCTGCAATGTGGGTCTCTCACTAATTGAGAGGGTTGGTGTCCCTTTATAAAGCTGTTGCCTGTGCTAGCTGAAGCTTCTTTACAATCAATTATGGGATTTCCCCCATCCTTCCTCCAAGCTGCAGCTGCAGCCTCCGTCCATCACTTCCTCCTCCTCTGATCGGCAGAGGTTATTGGACAATTGAAGTTATCTGGCTGCAGCTGTTGAGAACAATCACATTAGAAAATAAGAATTTTTTGGGGGGGAGGCTGGTTTGGCTGCCCTGAGGGTCTATTTAGGGCCCCAAAAAATCAGTTATAAAAATTCTTACAAGTGTTGTAAATGTGGTACTATAATGCTGAAACGGGAAAAGTGCTGAAAGCCTTTGGTCTCTAAATATAAGTCCGCATTCTCCTGAATCACTAAATGCCAGTTATTCCTTCTTAATACTTCATGGAAGATATAATGAATGCCAAGTTTTACTGTAGCAAAACATTGAATAATGTAAGTAGACATAATACACTCAGGAAGAAGAAGAAATGTCAAAAAATGAAATTTGTTTCCATACAATTTTATATGTCTCTGTTAGCTTGCATGTTCCAGAAATCAGCAGATGCATAAATGGGAACAGCTGATCAGTTTTGCTCTTTGCCCTAAAGGTTTAAATAGAATGATGTCATTTATTGGGCTTGTAATCACTGCCCACATTATAAAGGTCAAACTTTTCATGCTGCGGCAGGAAATCAATCGTTTCTCCCAACAACCCATGGGAAAAGAAAGTTTTGCTTCTCGAGAATAATGTGTAATAATAAACAATTTTAGTCTTTATCAGCTTGGCAATCTTGGAGAGTGAAAAGCTGGCAAAGCCTGATAGATAAGCTCATTAAAATTAGGAAGTGATTTAGAACAAGACTCAAGATTTATCAGGAGCTAAACAGCAACACAATTTGTTTAGGTCGGTGCTGAGACAAGTTAGGAGGAGAGCTTAATTTTATGTAGGCTGTCAGGGAATTCTTTCAGAATTGGAAAACGTGGAGCCTACAGTGGGTGATGGATACTCTCACGGTTGTGCCAGAAAGAAACAGATAATATATATTTATTATGGCCCTGCTGTAGACAAGAGTTTTAACTATCTGGAGAATGTTATGTGGGGGCATAATCCGACTAAAAATAAATGCATTTGTAACATGACCTGCCCACTTAGGCTGCAATCCTTAACCCCACTTACCTGGGAGTAAGCCCCATTAAATTCAATAAGCCTTATGTCTGAGTTGACGTAGTTTAGATTGTGCTATTAGTTAAACTAAAATAATGGGGGGGGGGGGACTTAGAATAGAAACAAAATATGCAAATAAAACTTCTTGTGCAAAGAAAGGGTTATTTGTTATACCTAATCCATAAGACCCAAGCGGCTACACTTTTCCCATTCTCCTTTTATCAGCTTATTTGAAGATAAAAGAACAAAATGCTTCAAAGGGGTGGGGGGTGGGGGAGAGAGAGATGATTTAGATACAGATCTAACAAAGTGTGTTTGCAACCATCTTAAGGTTCTTGCCTTTAATTTATGCCTGACATTGCTTCTGAGATTTAACACAGGCATATGGTCCCCTTTTGATGATTGATGGTGGTAGAACTGTCTTCTCCATCTTCCCTTAGAAACCACCACAAAGTCAAATTTTGCCTTTCTGTATGTGCTTGTACACAAGCACACAGACATCAACATATTCCATCAATGATTCTCCCCCCTTCAAGCAGTAATATAGCTCTAGATAATAAAAGTCTCCTCCACGATCAAGGTGACATTTGGGGAAGATAGCTGTATCCATCAATCTATGGATGGGCCTTCCACTGCTGCCTCTAAAATCCCTGAAGTTTCTTTTGCTATGGCAAAGCTACTT